TATATATATATATATATATAGAGAGAGAGAGAGAGAGAGAGAGAGAGAGAGAATGCTGCCAGTGAGTGGAAATGGAAACATGTCATCATTACCTCAACACAATCACTTATTTAAATTTTATAAATAGCAATGGCCAGAGGTCACTTACAAAAGCAAACAAAAGACAACAAATCAGAACTATTACTCAACCAGATTATTTCTTTTCTGCAGAGATGTTACTAGGCCCATAAATTCTGAGAAAATCTTCAGTAATTTTTAAAATCATGTATAGACTATCTTTAATTAGCTTTTTTTTTTTTAAAAGTGCCTTTCGCCACTTGATCCACTTCCATGGTAGGAGCAAGGAGAAGCTGGAAGGTAGATGCAAATGGGCAGTGTTTCATTTCAGAATTTTTATAAAATAGAAATATGTGTGCTTAAAAACACTAAAGCACGAATCAGCCTGAATTAAGCTCCACATCTTCTCTTCCTAAATAGTGAAATACACTTATTGTATCTTTCATAAGAAAGTAGACAAGAACCAAACATAGTAGCATATTCTCAGAATCTCCCAGAACTCTGTTTTTATAAAGCCAATACAGCACCCCTAGTTTACAGAGTGAGAGAGACAGCTCCTTGTTGGGTACACTAGCCTCATGCCACTACTCTTCTGTACCTCCCCCATCCTGTGTGAATAAACCTCCACAGTGATGCAGGGAGACAGCAAATGTGTGTGAAGCCTGGGAAACAGAGAGCTACAGAGCCCCTGTGTCTGGGAGTGGAGGGAGTGAGTTCAGTAAAAAGGTCCTGTGCTCAATGGTTCAGTTCCTAGCACCATGGGGGGAAGGGACAAAGAAAGAAAGTAGGCATAGAGAATGGTGATGTATCTCAGTGATAAAGTCTTACCTACTGCATACATGGCATGGGTTTAAGCCCCAAGGTGAAAGAGAGAGACAGAGACGGACAAGGCAGATAAGCACGAAGTTTGGAGATGCATTAGCAATGATAATGTTAGGTCACATCACATTTAAAATCAGGTCATTCAACTCCTTCAATCCTTGTTTATTTTATTTATTTTGTTTTGTTCTCTTGTCTCTTGTTTTCATTTATTTTACCTTTTTTAAAAAAATACATTTACTTGAGAGACTGTATAGCAGTAACTGGTATGACATGACAAGCAGTACATATTTAGAAGACCAGAACAGGCATTCCAAGCATGAGCCTAGTATTACACATTACTATCTTCAGTGTAGTTCCTTAGTTCATAGTTATCAGCATAAATAGTTAGTCCAAGTGAGGATCCTACCAATTAACTGCTAGTTTCAAAATCCTGCTGAAAAGTCTCAGGATCATTGCCTTACCCATCTTGTGCATATAAATGTATGGTTTTACTCCTGTCATGTTTCCCAGATTCTCTCCTTGCCCTCTCTTCATTGTTTAATCCTTAAGTTCTCCCTTTCCTTTTAATTATGTTATACCTTTCTCTTTTTATTTCTTCTTTTGAGTTCTTACACTAGGGAGACTATACCACTTAAAGATTTATTCATAAGTGAAATAAACCAGACCTACATATGTAAATATCGTATAGGCAACTCTTGTTTATTGCCACCAATATTGTAGTATGATGCTGACCAAAGGGCAATTAGAAAAATCTGAAAATATTTATGCAAGAAAAAGTATCAATACTTGAAATTTCATGTTGAAAACTTCTTAACAACTATCATTGATATGTAATCTTAGGCCTCTCTCTCTCTCTCTCTCTCTCTCTCTCTCTCTCTCTCTCTGGTCCTTATTTGCACTTTTGGTTTCTCACATCAGAGGACCAATGGGGTAAGCAATACTGTCATTCTAGAAGACACACATGTAGACATCACGTCATGAGATAACAGATGTGTCAATAAGGAGCAGAGTGTATAAAAAGTATTGTGAAATAGAAAGAAATGATTCTGAAGAAAGGGTAATGAGGAAGCAACGAGGGGGAAAAGCAAGCAAGAAAAATGAAGAGTTCATACTTGTAGGTGAAATAAATCAGACACACATGTTCCAGTGTAGCATTGTCTCTACTGAGAGAAACTAACAACAGTAAAGAAGGACCAAAGAGTATGAAAGATACTGGGAAATAGGAGGAAAATATGCAAATGGGAAGGACAGCAAAGGATGTGGAAAGAAGGAAGAAAGGAAGAGAAAGAAGAAGAAAATGCAAAGAAATCTTTGTAAATGAGGAAGGGAAGAAGGGTGGCAGCAGAATTCAGAGAAAAAAGAATCAAGAAATACTATATACAAGTACAAACTTCTTCTAATGAATATAATAGATAGATAGATAGATAGATAGATAGATAGATAGATAGACCAATACAATTAATTTAAAAAGAAAGTAAAATGTTTCTATTTGATTATTTTAGGATCAATTTGGCAAAAACCTTCCAGAGCACTCACTCACTAATACTTTTTCTCCAATATCTCCTAAGTAGGAGTCTATTTCAGTGACAGTTTGATAGAAAACATGTAGGCAAAGGCCTTCCCTACAGTCTGCTTCAATGCTGTTTAAATCTTCTGCAAGTGGCAGGCAAGTCCAACATTGTGTCTGATATCTTAACACCGGAAAGTGAACACGGGAGCAGGGCACGTTAGATCACACATAAAATGATGGCTTTCAGTAGGACACATGACAACGCTGGAAGTCAAGAAGAAGGCTAAGTGGTGGCGAAGAAAAAATGAGGTGTGACCTTTCTTATTGAAATAAAGTTGACTTTTCAAATATTCTGCAAATGAGCTCTCTCAATAAAAGTGTATCATTTTGTAGTGTGCCTCAGTTTACTTTTCAGTACATATATGGGCAGTAAAAATATAATCATTTTATATGTTTAAATTCTCTTTTTCTGTGTACATATGTATATTCTTTTATAATTCATATATATATATATAAAATTACAATTTTTAAAAAATATTTTACATCAAAATTCCTGGTGGTTATCCTGGAACCCAGCAAAAATTTAGAATATATATATCTATTTATTCATTAATTCCAAACTTTTGGATGTTTGACAGATTTTTATTAAATGTCTTAAGATGTAACAAAGTGAGTAATTTGCTAAAAAATGAAATCAAAGTGCCTGACATAGAGACAAGCTAATCTATCAAAGGGCAGTAGAATGCCAGCCCACATCTGCATTCTGGTGGCCTGGTAAGCCCCTCTCTGAACACCGGCTCAGCTTCTCCAGGCATCCTGCTGCACCATCCTCAGGGCCTCCTCCGCCTTGCGGCTGCTCACTACTCAGCCCTGGGTCCCTCCCCTGTGGGGCTGTCTCTGCTCTTGCTCCTGTCACGCCCCAGCGGGGCACTGAATCCTTGAGGGCAAACTCTGTTAGTCTTCTACTTAGGTGGCTGACTCACCAAAGGAGCTAATGGATGATTCCCTGGTCCCCGAGTCTGGGACTACTTATTGCATGAAGGTGTGGCCAGGACAATAACCCCAAGGGCACTGCGTGTGTGTATATAAGCTATGTCTGCCCCACCACCCAGTTCTAGGAGAGATCCACACTGTGCACCCCAAAGCCTACTCTTCCTGATAAGCAGAGTCCACATCATGGATTGATTTTGGCTTTGGAAATCAGAAGGCTTTCTAAGGTGTAAAATACAGCTTACCTGTGTGCCTGTCTTTAAGCGCAGTTTTGCACATTTCAATCCTGGCTGAGTGGAACGGGACATAGCGGTCTTGGGGAGAAGCCACCAGCACGACATTCTTAAAATACTGCAGCCCTGGAATGAGAGGCCAGGTGAGAGCTTCACATCTGGAAAATTTCACCTTGAACATCCTCTAGCTTGGTTTGCACACCTCAGGCTTCTCCTAGATAGGGCAACGTGAGGCAATGCCAGAGGCTGATGTGTCACTGTGGCTGGGCTGTGGTCTTGGGATTTATGATGTGCAGCCTTCACAGAGGCCAACAGGCACCTGTGGGGAAGAGAGGATGGAAGCCCTGTTCTGGAGCCCTGGCGATTGAGAGGGGAAGTTAATTCTTGGTTCTCTTCACTCTTGGAAGGCAAGGAGGCACATAGCAAGCTAGAGAGAAGAAGCAGTATAAATGAGGTACGACTTTATAGCAAATAAACTTAATGATTATAATGAAAAATATGCTGCTATGAGTCCCCATCAATATACTCCTGCTCCTTTCAAACACATTTATCCCATCATCCTTGTCCCTTCCTAAAGCAGTCCTCTTTCCTACCTTTAGTTTTACTGCTGTAGCTGCCTCAGTGTTCCAAATTGATTCACCATTAGTAGTCATTTTGACTTTGCGGAAGAGTCCGCTTGGTCTGGTGCCAGATCCAGGGAGTAAAGTATGTGCAGACACAGAATAATGTTTTTATCAGCCTGGCTTTCCATGTGATGACACTGGGTGGCAGCATGTGCTATATCTTTTTATTACTCTTCATAAAAACACTCATGAAAAAGGACTTGCAGAACTGCTTCCAAAAATGTCAAGAATAGTAGAATGAGTTGCTCATCAGGCAGAGTATTTTAAGGGGCATGAAAGACAATGTGTCCTTTCCTGTAATATCTTTTTTTCAATTAAAATGCTCCTCATATATTTTATCACCCTTTTGGAGAGGAAAGCAGAAGGGAGAGGAAAGAGAGGAGGGGAAGGGAAAGGAAAGGGGTGGGGAAGAGTATAGAGGGGAGGGGAGGGGAGGGGAGGAGAGAAAGATAACCACGTTGTGGGCCAGGAATATGCAGGTGTCCATGACAAAGAAGGGTTTTCCAAGCCGAATACCACACCAATATCTTGGAAGCCTGAGAGCCCAGGATAAGCTTTGGGCATGTGTGCCAATCCGGCTGCCTCAGACAGAGCCCCGGATACTCCTGGGCAGGAGGAGGCCTGAGCATTCACTTAGTGTCCCCTCACTGTGGTGGGCCTCCCACCTACATCGAAGATTGTATTTTAAGTTCACAGCTTAGGAGATGGCTTGTACCAGTAGCTGGCTGATGTGGGGCTAGGAAGATATACCTGAACCCTCATGCCACTTCAGGATAGCCCTGTGGAGCCACTTCATCTCCCAGGCTCTCATCTTGGCATAAACTAAGGCCTGTGGGCTGACCACACTGTAGTCCTCCTTCCTCACTGCCCAGTCCTGTCCTACTTTCTCCCCCTCTAGAAGACAAGCCAGAGTCCTCGACCTGACACAGAGGCCCAGAGCCTCTGTAAGGAATTTCCCTTTGCCACAGCCACCCACTGCTAGAGGTGCAAATGTGTCAGAGGTGTCTACAGAATGACGGAGGACTGTGCACCAGGAGGCACACTCTGGTCCAGGCTAGCTTGCCTGGCAGCGCTGCATAGGCCATTCAGTTAGTAGCTGTAATCCCTCCCCAGGCACAGAGACCCCTGGGTCATGAGGGCCTTTGACCTCTATGACCATGCTCATGGGCAGGTGGGGTCTTCTCCCCTTACTTCACTGAGCCTGCCACCTGTTCAGCCAACAAGGCCCTATCATCCAGTCCTTGTGTCGGTCAATCTGTGCCTGTTGAGATTGCCACAAAGATCCCAGCCCTCCATGACTGAAACACTAAAAGGCTATTGGGAAGCAGAAGATGTGGTTTCTGTAAGTCGCAGTGACACGTCACACATCCAAGCTCTCCTCTCATGTGCTGTGCAGGCCAAGAGATGCTGAGTTCCTCGAAGTTGCTGGAACGTTAAAAGATGGAAAAGACTGCTTGCCAGACCTCCCCCCTTACCTACCAGGAGTGGTTCAGCACAGCATTAAAGATAATTTGTGTCTGAGGAGTTGAATCTGGAGTTGCAAATCACCACCGCAGCTGCAGATGGAACCACTCACCTGTTTTTTGGCTTAGTTGGTACAGGAAACATTTGCGCAAGTCAGCATTATCCCTGAAGGTCAGCTGCAAAAGGGACCCAGATTTCTTCAGTTTCTGCATGAGCCACAAGCCTAGGGAAGTGAAAGAGAATACAAGGGAGAAAATGTAGACCAAGGCAAAAACAAAAGAGACAAGAGTTCAGTTAAAAATAAGAGTGCATTCTAAGCACATGGTTGGGGAGTTAGAGGGAAATGTGCCTTGCTGGCCATAAAATCACCCTGCAGAACAATGGAGATGGGCTTTCAGAGGCCCCAAACAAGAAATGTTCCCTTATTCATTCAGTCTCCACAAGAAAGCTGAAAGAAAAACCCTGATGTGAAAGTATTTAAGAATGTTCCTAATGGGTCCATTTAAGATCCTGGAAAACTAAAATAAATACTTCAGAGCCAACCCATTCAGCTCTGCTTGTGTAGCCACTAACATTAATGAGAGGGAGTACTGTCATAATATCAAACAAATGAATTTGATTTTAAAAAATGAGGGAGTGGGCCAGCAAGATAGCTCAGCAGACTAAGTGCCCACTTAGGCAAGTGCAGGGACTGGAGTTCAATCCCCAGCACCATATGCTGCACCATCCTCAACCCTGGACATACTGAGCTGGTGACTGAGTCCAGGCATGGTGGTGCATGCCTGTAATCCCATCACTGGGGAGGCTGAAAACAGGAGGATCACTAGGAGTCCGAGCTGTGTAGTGAGGCCCTATACCAGATACATTAAAAAAAAATTAAGGGGCTGGGGAGATAGCTCAGTAGAATAAGCACTTGCCTGGCAAGCACAAGGTCCTCAGTTCAATCCCCAGTACCACAAAAAAATAAATAAATAAAATAAAGTGAGGAATAAATAAAATTCAGATATATACATATATATATATGACTTCAATATAAAGAAGAGTATATATTATATATTCTACCATATATATATATATATATATATATATATATATATATATATATGCATGTATGTGAAAAGATAAATACAGTGGCTATCTAAATGGAGGAACCACATGAAACACCTCCTGTTTTAACATTTTTTAATGTTTCATGATTATAACTGTACGGAAACATAACTTAATTCACATGTTTCTGCCCAAAGCTGGCTTCTTGAGTCTGTGAGCAAAGTCAGAGTAACAGGAAAAGCTAGGTATCATGCCACCAAACAACTTACACTCACAAGCCATATCCTTAAAATAACTTCCACATAAAAGCATCCTTGCCCCATGCCTCCAGGATCCCATCTGGCTGTGCCAAGCATGTGGGTGTGCATGGCAGGTGACCAGATCAGCAGAGAGAGAGAGGAGAGCCTCTTAGAGCTCGCTCTTGAGCTACATGATTTATTTGGACTAGTGACATATTTTGATACACCACTTACTATTTTATAAGACCCAGTGAATTATGCAAGCTTCTGAACCCTAAGGCATGCCACTTCCTCAGTTAAAGCCACACTGGAGACATCCAGGGAGAAGGCGAGCGCCTTGCCATGTCTTGCCAGACCCCTCCCCTGGCTCTTCCTGTGTCCTCCCTCCATGATCTTCTGCCCCTCCAGGGCACGCCGCATTTCTGTTACAGAGAGCTGCCCATGGTGTGAGGGTTACACTGTGCTCCTGTTTTGCTCCATACACCTCTATTTCTGATTGAAAACTCTTCCTGCTCTTTACTCCTTGCAAATTATGTTTCACCCAGGTTCCTTGCCATTATGGTATCTCTCCCATAGAGCACAGATGAAATTGATGGCCTCAATGTTGAAGCCCAGTGAGCAGCGTAGTATTCACCTGTATTTGACCATCCATGAATCATGGTTCATTTCTTTTTTTTTTTTTTTACACTTTTTCTGTTTAATGACAACTCCATGATAGGCATATGCACATAGACACACACCCGCACACAAAGACACAGTCAGCCTTCTGTCAGTGCACTTTGTGCATCTTCAGATTGACCCAATGGGATCAAAATACCCTATGAAAAGGTGTATCTGCAGTGAACAGTGGTTGGACTATTTTTTACTCTCATAGTTACCCCTTAACCAAACAGTGAAACAAGGATTTGTATCACATCCACATTGTAATAAGGATTATGAGAAGCCTGGAGATGACACAAAATACGCAGAGGGATGCATATAGGTGATATGAAAATATTATGCTATTTTACATTAGGAACTTGAGCACCTGAGCCTGTTGGCATCGGTGGAGGGTTCCAGACCTAACATTCAACAGATTCTGAGGGATTATTATATGCACACCCATGTCATATGCATGCTTATACTAAGATGCACATGTACATACATGTATGTACATGTGACATAACTGCACACTACATAAAATATACAATATATAATCCAAAATATATTATTGCAAATATTTTAAAGTCTTATATTAAAAGACTCTCTATTAATATCCTTCAGGACACTTCCCCTTGCTTTAAACACAATAAACCCATCATTCATAATACTCTCTGAAGCAGTTTGGAGGTCGTTACTCCACAAGTACCTTTAGCTGCTGTCATAGTTGTTCCCATGTTCTGACTGGATTCAAAACAATCATGACAATGTATGGGAAGGGGTTGTGCTCTCACCCACATAGTGTCCCCCACTTTGTGACCATAATGACCCCTCACATATGATCTTTATTTTACACTAAGCTAACTAAAATAAGACCTGTCCTATGGGAATGCCCTTTGTTCTTTCCCGAATGTTAACTTCTTCGCATCAGAGTCTCAAGTATATTGAATATTTTCTTCACAGAATCTTTAAGGTAGATATAAAATCTCTCAGAAAATATCTGTCTAATCTCACTGAGTTCCCCCAAGGAAGGGCCACATTTCTCAGCCCAGGTCTTACTCCACCACTCCATGCTTGGCAGAAGGTCCAAAGTCCCAGATTTCCAGGGAGAACTTCTGCCTCTGGTTTCCAGTCCTTGAGGCCCACATTAAGTTTGAGGCATGCCAGGTTGGAGGAGTCTTACCTGTGCTAACGAGGGTGCTGTTGTTGTACAGGGTGCCCAGGTGAGGCCCCGAGAGTGACAGGAACGTGTGTAGTTTGTTGAGGTAATACCGGAACCGGGGCCTTGTGAGGACTGAACGGATGATAATGTTGCCCAGAGAATGACCAATGAAGCTATGGGACAGAAAATGCACACGTGAGTGTCACAGGAGGGCTGGCTGCTAGGGGCCCACTGCATTCAGGGAGCTGGTAAAGAGGACAAAAGCCGCCAGTCCCTCCTCCTCTGCTCCCAAACTCTGGTCACGTTCAAAGAATGGGGCCCTTGTGAATGCCAACTGTGCCAGAGTAGCCTGAGGGAAGGGTGGGCATCTGCCTGGCTCTGGATTTTCAGAACAGCCCCTCCCGACTGGTCCCCATGCCTGCCTCCTCTCGGTGGTCCACACGACTACTGAGAGCCTCCTTTGTAAAGCACATGTCTGAGCACTGACCGCTCCTGGACATTTACAGGATGACATCTCAGCTTCTGAGCCCCACCTGCGAGGCCAACCATAACCTGACCTCTGACTCCCTCCAGCTGTGCCTGAGGTCTCGTTAACCTATTTATTTATTGAGCTGCCTGTCACTGTTCCCACTGTGTTTGACACCCCTGCTGCATGCTCTGCAGACGTCAAAGTGCTGCTCACAGAAATTTGGACCTGATACATTTTGATTTCAACTCAACTATTATGTATTGAAACCATATTATATGAGAAGTAGACCTTTGCACCCCTTCTCATGATAAAAACAAAATCAACAAAGAAAAAAATGTGTTAGTTTATGAAATTGCACAGCTTCGCTTGTGTCCTCTCATTTTTACTGAACCAGTACATTATTTGGTAAATTTTAAGATCTTCAGGAAAGAAATAAAGAAGTGACAATTTAGTTCTTAAGATTAATGTGACAGTGCACATTGAGAGCTTAGCCCTATAGCTATGTGCTCAGTAATACACACTATGTCCTATGAAATTGGTTATTGAAAACAGGTAGACTGGGGTTTTTGTTAGTGTGAGGCTAAACTTAGCACTGATTAAAGCTCCCTCACTGGACACATGGAGACTTAGTGATAATTCTATAATAGATAAGAGAATATAGAATCAGAGATGAAGAAAGTTTCTAAAAAGTTACTCATAGAATACATGTAACAATCAAAGTTCAAAATTATATCAGAACAAGAATTTAAACTTAGCAATTTTTGTTTTAATTACTACACTCTTTCTATGGAACAACAAAATATTTCTCCTCTGCATGCATACTATACAAATGGCATGTGTCAACCATCCCTGGTACTCGGTCCTAAGTATAATAATCCACATCCGATGTCACGTTAGATTATCCCAATGGTTCTCAGAAGGTATTATTCCAAAGTTTAATACAACAGACACCCAAAAACATCACCCCACTCCCCTCAGCATTAACTACCTGTGGTTTCCTTTTACCTAATTCGAGATATGGAGAGGTTGTACAACTGAATGTGCTGAATGATTTCATCTAATAACCGATCCGTCATGGTATCAAAATCTGCAAATGTGTCCATCTGCAAGAAAAGAGAAAGGAAGGGTGTTGGGAGAGGTTATGTCCAAGGACACACACTGTGTGCAAGCCACCATCTTTGGTAGATTATTGTGCAGTACTGTGGTAGTGTGTCTAAGACTAATGCTGGTGTTATAGGCAGAGGTTTGACCTCAGGGAAGAAGGTCTACAGATTGGTGCTCAAAGAAAGAAATATGATGCATCTGAAGAGCCTTCAGATGGGAGGCTGAGTAATCTCCAAGAGCTGGAGTAACCTCATGCATGTGGTGTCTGCAACCACTTCTCACACCCATTGTCCCATACACAGGTATTGGTCCTGCTGTATGTGCTTCACAGAGGAGGCAATAGGCTCTGAGATTGGAGGTCATTTACTTTCCTCACGATGCTGGGATTTACACTAGACAAGCTTGACTCCAAAGCCCCTGCCTTTAGCCCCCTCAGGCTTCAGGCTGTGCTATGAGGATATGTCCAGGGCACAGCGATTGGCTTGGGAAAGAGAACAAAGTCATCATGATTTAGGCAGGATGGTCAGAAAGACACAGCAGCACTAAAGGAAGAAGAGAAATACTGTGCAAGTCTTTGACTGCTTGGAAGGTAGGCATGGAGCAGACAAATTTAGTGTCTTGAATTTTAACATTTGAAAACATGGAAGCACAAATGAGTACATTTAGGATCCATATTTATTTTATTTTTTTTAGGATCCATATTTACAAATCAAATTTCTCTCATACTTGGAGCTAAACAACAATGTGCTGGACTGCCTGTACCTATGCTGAGCATTAAGAAACATGAACAAGAGAGCTCATGAATATTCATCAGAGTGTCAGAAAAGCATATTTAGAAAAAGTGGTAGAATGCAGAAGGCCTTTGGGTTCCCCTGTTATTCAGTAACCTCGAGAAGCAGAAGAGACACAGACACCAGAAGGTCACATAGATGCCACAGGATGTAAAGGACCCCGATTTGCAGTTCCTTTCCTCCACTGGATGTTTAACTAGATCTGTGGCCTCCCCAGTCTGAACTAAAACTTTATCTCTTAAACATGGAGAGTAAAACCTACTCATTCACTGATTAAAATGTACATGAGCTTCCCAAGACAGATGCTGCTGTAACCATTATCCTCTGCCTTTCAGGGTCCATGTCCTCATTGGCCAATTATTAAATGAATGTGTTGTTTGAATAATGCTTATAATTATGAAGATTGAGTTGGCTTTAATAAGAAACAACATGAAGAATTCCCCAGGAAGTGTTTAAATGGAATATTACAAATGGACCCGTTTATAAGATTTTCAAAACAACACATAGAACAAAGTACTGAATGGCCAAGCCTTGCAGTTAATGGCTTTGTAACAGAGATCCAGCCCCAAAGTTACTTTGGAATCCAGGCTGAGACTAATTGCAAGGAGGCAACAGGCAACTGGGATGGCTGGATAGACACAGGGGACAGCCATTGATTGACCAAGCCCCCCTAACAGACTGTATTCCACTTCCTTGAAAAAATACCCTCACTTGGAGAAAAGAATAAAGTCAGCAAATGCTGGTCACTGGATACCCTGCTCTTTCCTATGAAGACACTGGGAAGCTACTCTTGGAACTTGAGCCTCCTTGCTTCATCTCCAGATCAGACTGACAATGGAACCCTGTGAAAGTTCCAGAGTCACTCTGCTCTTTTCTTTTACAAAGCAACAACAGATAGAGAATAGTTTTGAATATGAAATGAAGAGGCAGGAGTAGAGTGCCCCGCACAGAGTAGGTGCTCCTACAAAGATTCTCTTTCCTGTTCCTGATGCTACATGCTCTGCACCCTCCTGAAGCTACTGTAGGCCTTCAGAATGGGAAATGCCAAGGAGCCTGAAACACAGATGAGCACTAACAGTGGAGGAGGAAACATTGCCTTCCAGGGTCCGTGACTTTCTGTACAACCGCCACTCCTCTGGGAGCCTATGCTTATAAACAGTTCTATTCTTTCAAATGATACTCAAGATTCATCTGTCTCAATTTTTGCAAGCATGAAAATCTACAGCAACTCCTAAATCATTAAAGTCTTACAGACCTTGAACCTAAGGCCCCAAGCTCCATCTACCTTTGAATAGCAAAGGTTCCCATGACTACTAATCATAGTCCTATTTCTTTTGTCATATAGATATAAGGGACAATGCCCTGCCCAAAGAATGGATCCACGGATCCACAAATAATTTATGTTTCAAAGACCTCTCCACATCTAATTCTTTGTTTAAAAAGCTCCGGACAGATGGTTCATGTGTTCTCATTACTTGTTCTTTCCTTACCCTGTAAGAGGAAAACGTATTGTTTGTTCTCTAAGTTTTCCAAGTTCCCTGACAGTGTTGTTCTTTATTTTATTTATTTATTTATGTATTTATTTATTTATTGCGGAACTGGGGATTGAACTCAGGCCCTTGCGCTTGCCAGGCAAATGCTTAGTGTTGTTCTTTAGATCCCCTCCAATCTCCACAAATCATTCTGGTGCTCTTCGGGGTTTATTAGAGCTCATTTCCTATTTTCATTCAAGCCCAGTGATTTTTGGTTTTGTCATACCTGGTTCTTTTCAGACATTAGGAAGTCCAGTTTCCCTCCAGGAAGGCCCAGTTCTATGAAAGTCTTTACCAGCCGAAGGTCCGCACTATTACCTGAAAAATCACAGAGAACCCCCACCCCCGCCCCACAGTGAATCAACGAAAATGCAACAGGCTGGATTTGTACCTTCTCTCTTTCTTCCCTGCTTTCCATTGACTTTATTCCATCAGTTTTTAAACAGATAATAAAAGCAAGTGCAGCCCTCCTTGCCCTGTCTCCCATGCACACACAAACACATATGTGAGTCCATTCAGGTAGTCTTGCCTCAATGAAATAGTGCCCTGTCCTGCTAATGTGTGACTCAGAAACACTGTGTGCCACGTCAGCTGAACCATACCTCCTATCATCTTCCCCCAGCATTTCTATTTAGACTTCTTTTTTTGTACCAGAAATTGAACTCAGGACCTTGAGCTTGCCACACAGGCACTGTACCACTGAGCTATATCCCAGGTCTTGTCCAGGATGTTCCATGCAAGGGGTGCCACCTAATGGCTGATTCAGTAATTAGCATGTGACAGCAGCAAGCCCTCTTACATTAATACAAGGAGAGTCTAGTTCTGCTGCTGGCAGGTAATCAGAAGCTTCTTGGAAGAGGGTAATGATGGTTCAGCTATCTAATAGAGAAACACTCCCGCCCGGAGCATGAGTCCTGGAAGAGCAAGCTGCATAGATGCTGAGTCAACCCAGAGGCACTCAGAGCTTCAAGTGTGAGAGTGGGTGCTGTCAGCAGAGGTACAAAAACATAGAGAATGCTCTCAGCAATAAAACCATGTGAAAACGTGGATCTGATGCCACAAAATAAGTGTTTTAGAAACACTTTCATGCAGCTCAAGGGAGTTAAATAGTATCTCAATGAATCTTTGGCCTCTTCCTTAAATGGGTTCCTGTGGATTTGAGAATAGATGCTCTTATTTAGCTATTGATCATACCTGATTTACCACAGGAATAAACCCCAAAGTTATTGTTTAAATCGTTTCTAAGATATTGGTGAAATTATGACTAATTTTGCATAATTCTTTATGAAGCTTCTCTGATTCAAAGAAGGGTAAAAGAGCCACACTGAATTAGGAGGAATTCAAGGTCTAGGAATGTCCCTAATATTTGAGGATGACTTCTAAGCTAAGATGCCGCTCATTTTAGGATCCTTCACAACACACACGGCACAGCCACACATGGAGGTCATGGGCATAAAGCCATCATGGTCTTTTATGAAAAGTGTGTATTTTGTACTTTTATGTTAAATTTTATTAATTTATTCACCATTTCATTTCTTCTGCTTTTGTTTAAAGTCTCCTCATGACATTTAGGACATAACTTTGAAGAAAACTTCAAGTGTTTGTATTTAGCATAAAAAGCTTAAGAGATAAAACCATACACCTCTTTCCTCCAATATTTGTGGAACTTAAGCATTCTCAGAAAGTGTGACTTAAGAAGGTGACAAATTGAGGATATTTATAAGAATATAAATCTTCAACCTTTCACACAATAGGAGTTGTGCAAATATTCATAACTCATTAATATGCTCACTTCTCTGGAAACAAAATTTGAACAATCAATCATAAAATTCTGAAGATTTCAGAATAATGCAACTTGAACTGGAGAAGTAACCTGCAAGAAACACCTGTCTGTGGTATCAATCTTCTCCCAGGTGACTTCTTGGACCGGTGACAGTGTTGGGTAACTCAATGCATTGTTGGGAAGCTGCCCTATCTGTATTTATAACATGCCTCTACTCGCATGTGCATGACAGAAAAATAATCAAAGGCAATTTCCTGCCCTGATTTCTTATTCTAACAAAGCAATTGAGAATCTGGCCTCCTTGTAATTTAATATGAATACACGAGCTGTATTTGAGCTGATGAATGAGAAAGCTGTTCCAGGTTCCTGAAAATCCCACAACTTGGATGTAGTCTCTGTCATAGAAAAAGGTGCCCTGGAAGTAAAAGGTGATTAACCATAGGTGACAAAATAGTATCCAGCCACAAACCTGATTTCCTCAGAATGAATCCATTTATTCTCCTCCTCCAGTTCTTCCTTTATACATAACATTTCATTGACTCATAAATTAATTAATTCTTGCATTGTAATTATTCATGCATTTCATCATTATATCCATTCCAATAAGACATTTACTTCATTTATTCACTCTATTCCTTTTTATTTTTAAAATTCACCTCATTAATTTTTTTTAATTTATTAGTGCCACTCATCTATTGGTTTATTCAATTAATGTCTTCACCACATTCATGGATTTTTGTGTTTTATTTGCTGAACAACTTTTTTGTGCCACATATTTTTAAATGTATTTCATTGTTTCAAGGTTTCACTATGCAGTCTGGACTCATGGTGATCCTCCTGCCTTCAGCATCCCCAGCGCTGAGACTACAGGCATGCACCACTACACTCAGACTCTGGCTGGCTCAGCCCACCCTGGGGGTGGAGTTGGCATGATATGTGGTGCCAGGGATTGAATTATGGTCCCTGTGCTTGCCTAAGCAGGCACTTTAGTCCTCTGAGCTATCTCACTGGCCTCAACAGATATATTTTCTTATGGAACAAAGCCATACCATTTCACTACATCTATCATAATAACTTTTTCACAGTTTCTATTTGAATTATCTCTTAATAAGTGGTTAACCTAAATTCATTCATAAATATTATAATTTCGTATAGCATGTAATTTTTAGGAAGAGACTTAGAACTCACCATCAAGGCCATGGACACAAACCACCAGATGAATCCCATCTTCCAAGTTCTCTTCCTCCTCCTCTGGTGGGAAATACGGTGTATCAGAAGCCAGTACAGACAAGTCACTGTACAGAAATCCTTCAATCTTCAATTCTTTTTTAAATTTTTCTTTGGCCTGATAAAAACTGGAGAATATGCTAATTAATCACAAGCCAAGCTGTGCGCTTCCTTGAGCAGGAAATGAATTGAGCTGGCACGTAGGCATGAGGAGCGTCTCTAAGCCAAGTGTCTGGCGAGTGGCAAGCCCTGAATGTGAGACCGTGGTGAAGAACCCAGGGAGGGATGCTGCACTCTGAATATGAAGGCAGGAAAGGATTCACCCCAAACCAAAGGGCTTAGTTTCTTCAGATTTCTACATGGATGCTGCACTGAATAGGACGGTGGATAATGAGGCTTCTCAGATTCTAACCACTCCAAGAATCCAGGCACTCTTTAGAATGTTCTTCTTCGAGTACAAGTTTGTTCCTCTGACCCACAGGACCACCACAGCTTGTCCTTATCTGCTTTTCCAAGATAGTCTCCCCATGCTCCCCTTCTCTAATACATTTCCAAACCCCTCCCCCACAATGCTTGGCTTTACTTCTGTGTGCTCTGATGAAAGCAGTTCTGGATTTCAAAGTGACTTCCCACCTTGCTATTATGTTTTATATCAGGGTACTATGTTACCATAGTTACCAAGTTACCTGAAATGATGGTATTTAAAACATGGCTTCAGAATTAGATCGCTAAGGGCAGAATCCCAGAATACCTGCCACCAGTTACCTATGGAGTATCACTCATCTGACATACTTGGGACCAGACGAGTTTTCAGCTCTAGTTATTCTTCCAGATTTGGGACTATTTACATATACATAAGAGATATGTTGGGGATGGAACCCAAGACTAAATACGAAATGTAGTTTTGGTTTATGTACGTCAATAGAAGTATGAGGAAGGGAGTTTTATACAGTGGTTTTAATATCTTGGGGCATGATGTAATTTCATAGCGCGAATTTCTCCACTTGCATCATCATTTCAGTACTCAAAAAAGCTCTTGGTTTAAGAGTATGGAGAGAAGGTGGGGCTTAGGAGGAGAGGGCCTGCCTGGCTTGCGCAAGAGCAGAGGTTCAACCCCAAGCACTAAGAGAACACCCAGTACGTTAAGTTTTAGGATTTGATTCTGGAACACTTCAGGTTTCGGATTTTCAAGTTAGGAGGTTTAACTGGTTTTATTATGTATTTATTATTATGGTTTCTTTTTAGTCATTTCATCATCTTCATCATGATCATTAGCAGCACTGACTGCTATATATTTTACTTTTCTTTTGTTATAAGTGTCTCCTCTTAAGAGCTTTTCCTTTCTGCTGGATGGTTAAGACTAAGATAAAGCAGGACCTATGCAACAAGAGTTGTAGCTTTTGGATCTGATAAGGCCAGTGAAATCCCCTCAGGATTTATGCTGAGATCCTGTACTTTGTTCTAATGGTGTTTGTAAATAGGATATCATGTCCGCATCTTGTACAGCAAATAACCACTAGGAAGAGAGTATGCAATGTGTTCATTATTGAAACTGTGCTACCAATTTGATTTGAAACTGTATCATTGTTATTTGTCTCTCAATAAAATTACAGGAAAAGAAAAAAAAAGCTTTTCCTCATCACTATCACTATTGACAGGAGCTGCCCCCAGCCGCTTTTCTTTTTCCCCTCTGTCTGACTATGAGCCATGAATCATTACATTTACTTATTGTCCTCATTGATTTCTCACAAACTTCTGGCTCTCTTGACTGTGAGTATAGCAATCATCAGGATAACTCTGGCTGGGAAATGGATGTCATATCTATCTATCTATCTATCGATCGATAGATAGATATATAGATATATATGACATATATATGACATATATATATGACATATATATCAAGTGTTGTATTATAGGTATTGAATACTCTTTATGAAACAAAAAGTTCAATGTATATTGGCTTGGGAAATTTATTTATTTATTTATTTATTTATTTATTTATTTATTTATCTTTGGTACCAGGGATTGAACTCAAGACCTTGTACTTGCCAGGCAGGTGCTTATACTGCTGAGCTATCTCCCTGGCCCTAGAGCAATTTCTTTAGGGGAGAGCCATTAGCATTTTCCAAAAGAGTAAAATGATTTTATTATATACCCAAAAAGGTACATAGTTCATAAGCAGGGGAGCAACATGAAGAGGAACCTAACACAGGATAGAAGGACCGACTTCAGCCCTGCAAAAGGACTGGTCACTCTAAGAACCCCAAAAGCAACCCAAATTGGCTAAAGAAGTCCTAGTCTCTCAAAGGCTTTTTAAAAAATTACTCTCTCAAAATGTGCAAAGACAGTATAATGGTATTCATAAAGGAGTTGTGGATTATGGTAATAATGCAATGAAGCTTAAATGCCCATCTATAAAAGATCTGGTCAAAATATCATGGTGCACCTTACTTGAGGCACTGTGAGAACACTGAAGTGATGCAATGTTAGACTTATAAACAGAAAATGATTTTTCCAATATATTAATAAATTAGAAAAGTATCCATCCAGGAACTGACAGAATAATCTTATTTTGCATAAAAACCTCTACATATATAGAATAGTGATTGTGTAAGCTGCTCTAGTGAGAGGTCTGTTTGCTGATAATTTTTATACTATTCAACATTTCTGGTTTGTATGACATATTTATCATTTAAATGATATGCTTATTATTTATATGATACATGCATATGCTTAAATTGGAAAATAATAAATGTTAACTTTTAGGTTGAATGTATGCAACTGGGAAATCTGTGGAGCGGCCTAAGCAACTGTTTGGGAACACGTGCGCCATCACTGAGCTTACCTAAACATCCTTTCACTGACGTCTTCCTCCAACTTGCTAGAATGGGTAGAAACAACTCCAAAGGAACCCAGAGGCTGGTGGGTGATAGGAACAGGCGTCTGTTTGGAAGAGAATCCAGCTCTGGCGGGGGTGTCTTTGGGCACAGAGGAGAAAGGGAGACATGTGGCAGTGCAAGACAGGGATAAGTTGACGATCTCCACAGCCTTTAGGCTGTCCAGAGTGAAAGACTCTGCAGGGCTCAGGTGGGACCCCAGGATAGAAGTGGTGGTCTTCGGCTCCTGGTTCCTCAAAACATGGGAGGGAATGGAGTGAGTCACAGTGGGGCACACAGTGCCAGCTTCATATGCAACCTCCAGGGAGGCATCAGGTCCTTTGTTCCCCACCGTGCCATCTGTGAGGCAAGGTGGGGTGCTTCGCTGGCCTGCAGAATTTGGCTGGGTGGTATTGGCAGCTGACGCACAGCTGAATTCAGGCACCTTATGGTGAGACATCTCCCGATCCTCTGAGATGCAGCTGTTGGACAGAATGTGTTTGCCCACATTGAAGTCTCTAGGTCTTCCCTTTGGGGTTTCCATTAGTCCTCCATGGAAAGACCCAGTCCTTGCATTTTCAAGTGTTATGGTGTGTGGTATTTTTAAATCAAGACCTTTGGCTTCCTTACCTGGAGTGCTTTCAGTTCTACCATCCAGAAGACAGCTTCCTTGAGCAACGAAACAAGTCTCTTTCCCTTTGGGGATGTCCATGTACCCAGGGCCCTGCTGTTTCTCAGCGTCTAAGTCTCCTTCTACCAGGGAATGGCCTTCTCTGTCATCCTTGGCGCTGGAGCCATCACAAGGCTGAGAGCTGTGAGCAGGGGCAACTTTGCTCTTGCTGTGCACATCTGCAGCTTCAGCAGAGCCTCCCTGTCTATTCCCGATGTCTTCACTCTCAGAAGACTCCTCTGGGCTGCTGATTTGAGGTGCAGATGCAGACTTGGTTAGCTTGGTGAGTGCCAGCTCTCGCTCCTCCTCTTCAAAGGGCAAGGAGCTGATGGAGGTAAGAGAAGCCTGGATGCCACTGGGCAGACTTGTGTTACTCTCTGTGTGTCCCCCCTCTAAGGAGTTCCTGTGCAGGGTGTGCCTCTGAGCCAGCTGGCACAAGACTTCCCGGTCACTGGGTAACTCTAGGGCCCTGCTTCGAGCTTCTGACCAGGCCACCGAGCTTGGTTCACTCTCAATGCCTGAGTCAGATATGATAGAGGAAGACCTCTTGATGACCCCAGAAAGCACCGATAGCTCCTCCTGCTCTTCTGTGTGACAGTCCTGCAGAGAAGACTTGATATCCAAGGGTGCTCTCAAAGTGTAGCTAGGAGGGTCACAGGGCTTTGCAGGGGTGAGCTTCAGGCTCAGCAACCCTGGCTTCCCCTCTTGATCTGTTCCCTTTCCTGGGGTGCTGAGCTCAGGGAGGGCTGTTTTGTCTGGAGAGATGGCATCCTGGTGGTTTCTACCCACTACCATTTTGCTTGGCCTTTCCGTAATGTGCTTGCTGTCTCTAGAGCTTTTCCTTTCATGGTGAGTACTAAGCAGCTCCATAGGCTCGGGTCTGGATGGGTTCTTATTGCTGGATTTCACATCAATGTAGGTCAGTGCTGGGGCCTGCCCTTCATCTGGGCCCACACTCCTTCTAGGAACATCCACCTCAGCCACGGTATATGTTCCAGCGTCAGAGCATTGAGCAGTCCAGCATTCATCTTCAGCAACCCCTGCTTTATTGTGGAATTCGCCAATTGTCAGATACACCTCCGACTCAAAACACATGTCCACCTGACTCTGTGTGGTCACAGTCCCACCTGGCTCTGGACACCTGCTGATTTCTTTCTCAGCGTCCATTTGGGCTGGCTTCATGGTAGATAACACCAGGCCTTCCTTAAAAGAGGATGTTGTATTGACAATATGGTTGTCTTCCTTCTCTTTTAGGTTCATGATGGCAGGGACTGCTGCTGGACCATCAAAGTCAGGATAAACATTCAAATTATTCCCTGCAAGAGAAAAGGAAAAGCAAAAGGATGAAAATGGAAAAGTGTATTGTGATTGACAAAATACAGTGATATCTTGGTTCATGATCTTAATTTGTTATGTGATTTTGGAAAAGATGGCCATGTTTGAGTTTGTACTGGAAAATGGACTGTAGTCATGTTTGTCATCCAACCTAGAGTGTCCAAAGAGAAACAAATTTGTGTCTATTGCTTTGTTTGTAAACCAAATTGTTCATGAATAAAAATATTTGTGAACTGAGGTACCACTATGTATTTTCATGAGTTATATAAATACCTACTCATGCACAAAAATTGGAAGTCTTTTATTTCTTTTCTTTCTTTTATTTTATGTATTTGGTACAGGGTCTCACTATGCAGATCAACCCATAGTGATCCTCCTGTTGCAGCCTCTCCAGCACTGGGATTATAGGAGTGTGTCATCATGCCTGGTCTTGGTGGCTAGTCAGGTGTGCCTGGGGCAAGGCTGGTGTGGCATGCGGTACTGTGGATCAAACCTGGGTCATTGTGCTTTCTTAGGCAGGTGCTTAGACCACTGAGCTATCTCTGCCGCCCTTTTATTTCTTTTCTATGGAAAATATTTTCTTGCTTGGAATATCCCAAGTGATAGAAGTGTCTTTGCTATTCATGTGGGTCCTAACTGCTTATGTTAGTGAGGTGACCTATGATGAATTCATAGTTTATACTAATGAGTGAGGACAGGGGCTGGTCCAGACAGAAAGACTAAACTTGTGATTAGTGGGTTTGGACATGGAGCAAAATAGGATCAGTCTGACTGACCATGAGGGGGAAACAGAGTTCAATCATGTGGCCAATGTCTGAATCAATCCTGTCATATAATGAAACCCCAGCTACTCCAGATGCCCCAACTCAGGATGGCTGTTTTGGTTGACAGTACAGAGTGCTGCTCCAGGAGGCTGGTAAAGCCTAAGAACAGAAGGCGTTGCTGTCTGGGGCCTCCCAGTCTTCAGCCTAAGGAGATTCTTTTTTCTTTTTTCTCTTTCCTTTTCTCCTCCTCACCCCCACATTTTCGTCTCCCTCCTCCCCTTCTATCTCTTCTTTCCTCTCTACCTCCTCCTCCTCCCTCTCCTTTTCATCTCCCTCCTCCCTCTCCTCTTTCTTCTTTTCTTTCTTTCCTCTCTCTTTCATTCCTCTGTCCTTGTTTCTTCTTTGTATTCTTCACATTTTTTTTTATGAGAAGGTAGGTATAGGTACAATCCTTTCCTTGGTTCTGTGAGTCACTCCAGCCAATCACTGAATATGAGGGGCTCATGGGAAACCAGACTCTGCAGCTCATTGGCCAGAAGTCTGAATGGAGTGGGAGGCCTTTAGTCTGGGTCTGGTGTCTGATGTGCAGCTAGTCTTACAGGAACTACACCTATTAGTGTGAAGCTTGTTCTATCTCTGGGTTGTTTGCTTTACATTGTTAGAAAGAAAATCTTACCAAAGTTTGTTTACTAGTTTCCATTTAGAAATGGTGAGGCTTTCTCTACTTTTGCACCATATTTTCAGAATCACAAGCTCAACTTTATAGTCAGGATGATTCCTGAAAATCAGATGATTTTCAACACTGACTTTGCCATTTGCCAGGCAAGAGACTCTAGGAAACTGTGGAATCTAAATAAGCTTTATTTTCCATTAATGTGTACTAGTTCTCCTTGGTCAGCTTGAAGATGGGGAGATTCACCATAACCCAATCACAGCTCATGTGCAAGTCATGATTCAAACAAATCACATATGGGGAAAATTTCTTTTTGAAAAAAAAAATCCAGTTTAAATTCTTTAACCAGGTAATTATCCTTGGTGATAGCCACACCATAAGGAAGTTTTCAGAATCACACTGCTCTTCATAGGCAGATGGAAGTAGCTATTTTTATTTTCTTTAAGTCAACTATTCTCTTTCACAATGTCTTTCTATTTCAATCTCTCCTCTTTTGTCCTCTTCCTTCTCTTCTCTCTCCTCCTTCTCCAAGCTGTCTCCTTACCAATAATTAGCAAAAGTAAACATCTCCCAGGTCTATCTGTTCCAAAACTAAGATCAGAAATTTATGTGATCCATTACTCAATTTCCCTACACACAAAATAAAAAAGGATGCACATTTTATTTTATTTAAAAGCACTTACATCGTCTTTATGATCTTTACAGAAGCTAAATGGATATGATCTCTTTTGACTGTTACCATGAAATAAACTTCTGCTATACCATTGGGGAGTTTTAATCACTATCATCTCATAACCTTAAGAGAAAGTTTTGATTGGGTAAAGGAAAAATGAATATCTTCCTACCTAGATGCGTGTCATGCAGCTGGAGAGGCTGTGAGCAGACTTCTCTTTCTTTGAGAGACCTACTCATGTCATAAGTGAAGCTGACATATTCTATGGCAATTCTTACACATCCTCCGGCCATGTGAGAACCTGTTGGCTCATCTCAGGTCTTTGCCAGAGGGAAGAGTTTGTGTTCTATGCCTCTCTACAGCTCCAAGGCTAGCACCGTGGTTAGTACCTATCTGATAAATCATGCTCATAAAATGAACAGAGACTAGAACTAAAGTCCGGCAGAACACAAAACAGAGAACAAACGTTGGAATCTTTTTCAGAGCACAACAGCCTTTGCCTTGATGCGATTTTGAAAACACTGGGAAACATACACAAGTACGGCTTGTTCTCCTGCCAAAATTAAGTGGGTGGCAGCAAAACTGTGGAGACAGTGAAAAGGGGAGCAGTTTCCATGGGTGAGAAGACAAGGAGGGAGGGTCTGCACAGTGCTGAGAAGATGTTCTGGGGGATACTGCAACAGCGCACACACGTCGCTGCACATGTGTGCAAGCTTGCCGCGGCCAGCCAGCTTCTCAGGTGTCTCTTACCTCCCTCTTTGCTGAGAAGCTGAGACTTCTAGTAAATTAATCCTCTTTTTGAAAAGGAAAGGGAAACAAGCAATGAAAAATAAGGGAGGAATCCTTGGGGATATGAACTGAGCTCTTTGGAAGAGAGAATGAATTATAAAAGGCTGCACCCTGGGTTACACATCCTGGGCAGGCCTGGGTGAGCTCCTGAGTGTATGGAGCAGGAGAACACAGCAGGGGACCTGGGCCTGGAACGTGGACCACCAGGCATAGCACAGTTGGGGAAGGAGTTCAGGCTTTATGTTTTTGGAGACAGGATGTGAATGCTCAGAATAGAAAGTATTTATCATAGACAATTAAGAAAATATGCAAGAAATGCAGTAGGAAAGTGGTTACCAAAGTAACAGCAATTTTCTTCACCATTACCGTTGAGACAAAAATCTCAGGAGCAAGGGGTCACATTTATATTGGAAGTCAGACACCATGGCATGAAATGGTATGAGCATGCGCTACCCTTGACTGCTCCATGCCTGCTGGCTTTTCACTGCCCACAGATGGATCTGCTTACTGTTCACTATGTGCCTGTGTCTAGTTTTCCCACCAAAGCCTCATGCACTCATAAGAGAGGTTTTTCAAGTGGTGAGCAGATCTAGGCTGTGCGATTCTAAATTAGTCCCCTGATTGGTTTAGCAGAGTCCTGGGTGTGGATGATGAGAAGCCTCACCTTGCTGTGGGTAGCACCCCTCAAAGAGCTTGTACCCTGGATGGGCAAAAGGGAAAGGATTGCGTTGCTGCTGCTCCTTGCTGCTTTCTGCCTACCACGCTATTACCTGTTTTCCCTCTGTGATGCCCCTCTGCCACACTGTCCCCTTAGAGCCAACTGATTACAGATTGCAACCTCCACAAACTGTGATCCTTCGCTCCTCGAACTTGTGGTTGTCTAGAAAGATTTGTTCTGATAGTGTTTGTGGACAGGATATCATGTCACATCTTGTACTATGAATAACCACTAAGAAGACAAAAATATGCAATGTATTAATTATTGAAACTGTCCTACTAATCAGATTTAAACTGTCTCATTGCTATTTGTTTCTCAATGCAATCATTAAAAAAAAAAAATGAAAGTAACTAGGATTCGCACATTTACTTCAGGGAGGGAGAATTGCTCCCCCTTTTGGCCAACTGCACACAGTTACTAATATTTGAGAAAAAAGAAAAATTCACATTTAGATAATGTGTCTAACTCTTGAGGCGTTGGCCAAATTAGCCAATTGTTATGGGACAGGGCCATGGTAAGGAGGGGCAGGATGTTCCAGACAGAGAAGACAGGGTTTGCTGAGGATGTGCTGCTCAGAAGGTGTCCAAGCCATGGTATTGGCGCTCAACAGCATTACTGTTTCTCAACACTTCTATTTGCTGTGCTATTTAACTCCCTGCAAGAGTGGAATGCAGGCACTGTGCGAATGACAGCCTGTTGGAAGGGAGTGATTAGAAGAAGTGGTTCTCCTTGCTAAAGGTTTGGATTTGGGATGGATGAAGCATCCAATCACTTTGTGAAGGAACATGATTGTTGGAGTGACACAAAGGACGCTGCTAAAGCAATCTGGGGAACAGGATTAGATACAGAGAGGGAAAAGGAGAAGCCCAAGGAGACAGCTGGGCCTCTGACCGTTTCTGCCTAGGCTTCTTCTAAAACATGAGATGAGAGTGCTGTCTTCATGAGTCTTCAGAGTCCTGAGCCTCACGTACTTTGCACAGGGGCAAAGGGATGCTGGCCCTAAAATGCTACATTGATACAGGCCATAAATGGCTCCTCATGAGGCCACCCCAGCCATGTCTTACTGCCAATTCACTCTGGAGGGTTCTAACACGAGAGAGAAAGGGGAACGGATGGGCAAAGGAGGCCTAGACTGACTGCCCCTGGCTTGCCGGTGGGGGCTGCAGGGTAGATCTCAGAGAGAAAGCTGACTGATAGAAAATACAAATATACAATACAATTGCACCCATGTGCCAAGGGATTCACTCAAGTATCTATTAATATCTGGAGAAAAAGACATGAAAAGATAAGTATGCCAGAACCTGGCAATGATAGTGAGTGCTTAATTTCTTCTCTACCTGTTCAAATTTTCTATAAATTATATAAACACAAGGCAATGACCTCTCTCTCTCTCTCTCTCTCTCTCTCTCTCTCTCTCTCTCTCTCCATCTAAGAAGGACTCTGACTCTGCTATTTAGATTTGTTTTGCGCAGTTAGATTGGAGGCTGGCTCCAGGCCATGCACCTTTTCGCTGTCATGCACCTGGTTGATGCTAGACGTCAGAGCATAAATGAGACCAGCATTCACATGGGTGCAGGAATGTGCTTCCTCGGAAGGCGCTGAGATTTCTGGGCACCACTCCAGTCTCGCAGTGCAGACCCTCTGCAGTGCAGCCATTCTGCCTTTCATTGGAATGATGGACCCTCCAGTACTATGGTCAAGACCCCACTTGGGCAGAGAGGAAAGGGGAGGATGAGCTTCTGTCTTTGGCTGTGAGCTAACTGTCACATCTTCAGTGTACACGTAGACTCCTTGTGCCTCAGTTTCTCTCTGTGAGGTATGAATCGTAAGGTTATGCACAGAATTAATGACACAAAGCCCTTCGACCTCTGGCATGGAGCCTGGCACATTCTGGTCCTTGCTGGCTTTCTGTCATCATAGCTGCAGCAGAGGACAGAGCACTGATGCGCGTCACATGTCCACACCCGCAGCGCCAGTCGCTCTGGAGATGCACACGTGAAGAATGCATGCACACATGCTTAGAATACCCCAAAATGAGGCATTGGTCTCTAAGCAGTTCTATGACCCACTTTCCCTAATATTTTCATGGCATCGAAAGAAACTTCTAGGAAATGGCTGTCCGTATAGGACAGTAAAGTTCCAATAGGAATGTCCTTACATTTCAATCACACACTTGTGGTGAGAGGGACATTTACCAACCCCAAGTCACCGCGCTGGGCTGGAGCCCCTCTTATCAGTGACAATATAGAGGCTCTGGGCACCCCCACACTGCAGGCAACAACATTGGAGTCTTCACAGTAATTGCTCGTTTTTAAAAATTAATTTAACCACATCACTGAAAAAGTCTTTTAAACAATGAGCTTAACCTTAATCTCTGCTTCTCCTCTGTTTGGAGAATATAGTTTGTTAATTTGGTTCCATTGCTGCTGATGCTATAAACAGAATGAATTCCAAGACTCTTCCTCTGGAAAGACTGTTTGTTTGTCTGCTTGCTTGCTTGTTTGTGAAACAGGGCCTCACTGTGTAGTTCAGGCCTGCTTTGCACTCTGGACAATCCTCCTGCCTCAGCCTCCAGAGTGCTCTACATTCATATACCACCACACACAACTCAAAAAGCCTTATTAATTGAACCTTTCCAAAACAACCAAAGCAGACAGACCTGTCACTGGGCAGTCCACGTATCTGTCCTCAAAGATGACCGGCAGGGTGTTCCAGTCGCCGTCGATGTCCAGGCACTCTGCAGGCAGCGGGGGCATGCTGCTGAGGTACTCTGAACTCCGCACATCCAGGGACAGCTGGCTGTGGGTCTGCATCCTGGGGGCACATGGACAGGGTGAGCACCCAAGAAAGACAGACATTCTTTAAAGTACCGTATCATGCTAATACATTCAGAAATTCTTAGCAGGTGCTGGCCATAGCTATCCGCTCCTCCATCCACACTTCCATTTCCCACACACAACATGAACCCCCAAAGCCATAGATGGCTACTTTGTTTGGAAACTAGTTCAGGTGCTGGAACTAGAGGCATGAACGTCAGGACTGTGTGAAACCCAAGGTTAGCTGTCACACACACTTAGTGGAATATTGTCAAAGAGTGGCACATCACGTGAGCATCTAAGTGGCTAAGAATATTAAATTAAAGTAGTACTTCAGAGTTCTTTTTAACATTTTAAAAATTCTATTTATTTATTTACTTATTTGGTACAAGATCTCAGTAAGGAGCTTAGACTCATAGTGATCCTCTTGTCTCAGCCTCCCCAGCACTAGGATTACAAGTGTGCACCACCACACCCAGTTTCCATTGTTAATGTGGTAGATCCAGGGTTCCAGGGTCAGCACGGCAGGTGGTACCAGGGATCGAACCTGGGTCCCTGTAATTGTCAGGCAGTTGCTTAGAATACTGAGTCATCTCCCCAGCCCTACTTTGGAGTTCTTATCATTTCTTTTACTTCTGTACTTACTATACCATGGAGGGCTTGACCCATATTTTAGCATGTTTGAATTCAAACACACCTAAAATATGTTTTTATTAATGATTTTGTGGACAACTAGTATATTTGATAAGGGTATTAGTTCTCTTAATTCAGGAGTCATGTTTTGGTTCTTCCATGTGTGATTCTTAAAATGTCTATATTTTCTCCATTAACCAAACATTTTTCCATCAAGAGGAACTGATTCCAAGGATTAAAACAAGCCTTGTTTCTCATTCAAAGACTCGGGAGGTATAAACCATTTATTCTCTTCTCCTTTCGTCTCCACACAATGAAGAGATATTATTTTACCCTATGAAAAAAACTAGGTAGGCATTGCTTCTCCCCATTAAATAGCTGCTTGGTCCCCTCTCTGCAGGGGAGGAGGGGCCCTGCGGGCCTGTAGAGTCTGGGGATTCAGCATACAGAGGTAACTTCTTGCTGTCTGTACATCTTGTGTCTGTGGACCTTTTGGAAGCAGCTTAAACTCGGGGAGTGTCTTTCTCCCTTCCCAGCCACAGAACACCTGTGCCTGCAGAGTAAGAGATTGTACCTAAGGAGCTCTCACAGGCCCAAAGAAACTGGTACAGAGGACGCGGTGTAGTGAATCCCTGTCTCAACAAAAGAAATTATGAAACACCAAAGCATTTCGTGTGATGGAAACAGACTACATCTGAGCTTGAATCTAGTCCATCATTTGCAGAGTCAATAAGAAACAAATACCCAAGGCCAGCCAGATAGCCCAACGGACTAAAGCACCTGCTCAGGCAGATGCAGGGACCGGGGTAGGATCCCAGGCATGCTGTGCCAGACTCATCCCTGGGGCACGCTGAGAGGGTGACTCTGATTGGGCGAGGTGACAGGCACCCGTAATCCCAGAGCTTGGGCGACTGAACACAGGTGGATCACTATAAGTCCACTTTGTGTAATGAGCCCCTGTAGACCCTGTACTAAATACAAAAAATAAAAGGAAGGATGGAATGGAGGCAAGGAGGGAGGGAGGGAGGAAAGAAGAAAGGAAGGAAGGAAGGAAGGAAGGAAGGAAGGAAGGAAGGAAGGAAGGAAGGAAGGAAGGAAGAGGCCAAGCAGGTGACTCACAGTGGAACATGAAGCTGTTGGAGAATCAGGTCTGAGCTTTATGGGCAAGGTATGCTTTCCCACTGCGAGGTTACTTTGAGCTCAGAGTTTTTGAGCATGTGAGTAAGTAGCTGAAATCATGGTAGCACCTGTTAAGAAAACATCTAGGGGTGCAAAGTGCCACGAAGAGCTCCGTGCCAGTCCCTGTCCACAAAACTTTTCTGAGAGGTCTCTGGGTCAGCATCCTGGTGTGATTTTAAGCCCAACCACAGGAACCCCAAAGCCTTGCAGAGCACGCTCTGGAGGAAGCTGTCTTGCCTACACTGCTTCGTGCACAGCAGCGCAGCTTCTGTGGGAGATGCCGGATGGCGGTGGCTACCGGCAGAACCATGACTTCACGCTGACTTTATTCGGATAGCAAGTCTGGTTCACTGGGATACACGGGAGTGCCACATTAACAAAGGGTGCCCTTGTGGTGCTAAGTGGCATATCAGCCCAACTGAAGGAAGACTTCTCAGGTTATCTGTGGGCATGCTTTGGGCCACCTGGCATGTGAGTTGGAGGGCAAAGTGAGTAAGACCAGCCTCCAGGTGGGCAGAGATCTCTAGTCAATGCGGGTCTGGATGGAACCCAAAGGGTATAAGGTGAATCTTTGCTCTCTGCTTTGGATTCAGGATACTTTTTTCTATTCCCTCTTTTCCTTCTTGCTACAGTCACCAGCTTTGGGACTGCAGGACTCACACTCATGGGCCACCAAGGATTCAGGCTTTGGGGCCGAACTGAGAGCTGCCCCAGCACTTGCGTGGCCCTGCGATCCTCAGACTTGAGCTGAGCCCTGCTTCTACTTTCCCTGCACCGCTGCAGGTCTTCACCACCACGGTGTAACTCAGTTCCTCTAATTAATCCCTTCGCGTTCATATCCACAAGGTTCTTGGGGATTATCGGGTGTGAATTGATAAAAACAAGGGGAAGAGAAGGGTTTCAGGCAGGAATCCCCTCTCCTCCAAGGAAAAGCTCAAAGAATATTACTCTATCTGGAGTTCCCGAATCCATGCCTTCGGGAATTAATGAGAATTCTTCTTAAGTGATAAACAGCTGTACAAACAGAGGAGGGCAATGCAAGGAGGAAGGGACTGTTAATAACTATGTTAGTATCTAAGAGTTGCATTCACTAAGTGAGAAATTCCCACTCTTATCCTCAAAATGCCTCAGAGTATAGATTCTGTCTTACTCTCTTCAGATGGTTGCATCCCCCTCTCCTGGTCACACACTTATTCCAGCTGACTATAGTAGCCATACAAATAGGAAGACACTAACTCAGAAGGAGTCCTGCCCCTGTGGACTGTGTCCACCTGCTTGTGAGCAGGCACCTCCAGAGCTGGGGGGCATGTGGTGGATGGTCCTTCTGCACATCCAAATGGTTGTCAAGATAGGTACCGTGCATGTAAATCAGTCTGAATCACAGCAAGTAAAGGCCTCACAGTTGGTGTATTTAGGCAAATATCCTTGGGTTTCAGTCAGGTCATTCCACGCACCCATCCAGGGTAGGGTCTTACAGGCCACACAGGGCCTGACACAACCACACATTTCAACAGCAAGTTTGCCCTGACTCCAGAAGTACAGCCTGACAGTATAGAATACTCCCATTTTGGAAGGTGAAAACATACATTTTATTTTTATTTTAATGTGGTTCAATATCTATTGTTGTAGAGAAGGTGCAGCCAGGAGGCTAAGAGGGAGGGCTCTGGACTCTGGTAGATTGCTGTTTCTGTCTTTCTTGCTGTGTGGGCTAAGGCAAGTTACTTAGCCTCTCAGAGTCTAGATTCCCCCAGTTTCTTCTTGGGTAAGTGAAGGGACAGTGCAGGCCCTCCCACACAGGGTAAATGAGAATGTTAAGTGAGTCGATGCATGTCAGATTGGGACAGTTTCTTATGAGAATCCTGGCCACAGGCTGTGAGGACCGGCAAGGCAGGTAAATGCCTATCATATTTCAGCCCAACATACAGAGCATCTTATAGAATGAACGCTTTGTAAAATGTTAGACCATGTGGCAATTCTCAAAAGGAAAATGTAATAGTCAAATTGACATCTCATTGATCATATTACGAAAATGAATGCCTTAGCAGTCTCCATGTCCTTTGCTGCCTCCACACTAATTCATCAACAAACAACCCAACATCATCAAATGTACGAATCCCTGGGGGCCCCTGGTGAGAGAGAGGAGGGACAGAAAACCACACACCATGCTTGCTGCCCCTCCATTCTGAAAGACAGTGTGTGTGTGTGTGTGTGTGTGTGTGTGTGTGTGTGTTTTACCGGATTGAGCTCAGGGTTTTCAGGTTGAGCTACTTCCCCAGTCCTTTATTATTATTCCTGTTTAGAGGCAGGGTCTCACTAAGTTCCTCAGGCTGAGCTGCAACTTGGGGTCTCCTGCCTCAGCCTGCCATTCTGT